ATCATACACAGCGTGTGTACAACAAACAACATGATATACTAGTAGGTTATGTAAACAATATTTTTTTCAACAAATTTAACAAGTCTTTGGTCATATCTCGGCTCATGCTCTCCAGGATAAGTAACCAGTAATAACGAATTTATCGATCAATGAGAAAAAAGATAAAACACAGGTATATGAATGTAAGAACAATGTTTATATCAGATGTTTAATCAATATTAAAAAAATAGCAAATGAAAAATCGAGGATATTTGTTTGGTAAGTGTACATGGATTATATATCCATTTGGTTTACTTTAAATATCTAGAGCGCAAAGCGCGAGTTATAAAAGATTTATAAAAAAGCAAAAATGTTTGCTAATCTTGCTCAGGCATTAATAAAAGTGGCAGCATAGACCCGAAATAAGTTAAAATAAAATAGTTTTTCCCCTCGTGCGTTCTGCAGCCTAATTCTATGTTTCAAAAAATGTGATATGACTTATATCTCATTAATATATTTCAATATTTTACCGAACAACATAAGATAATATACAAATATGAACTTTTTAGCTGGAGAATATGCGAGTCACCCGACGTTTTTTTCTGAAATTATAACAATAAACTTGGCGTGACGTCACGTCATAGCCTCGCGTCTTTAAGGGGATTTTAGAAGAAAAACAGTGAATATCCTCTGATATTGGCCTGTTATTTTTAACAAAAAGTTGATTTTAAGCCAATCAGAGAAAGGCATTTCAAAGCTATTTATAAATCAAATAATGCATACTTTGTCTCTATAGCAAATCTGCTTTTCAAACTTTCCGTCTTCTCCTTTGACATTTATAACCCTCGAGAACGAAATTAACCGATTGTGGTTGAAATTGTTTCCAATACCCAACATGTGACAGTCACGTGCAAAGTAGTCCCACTTGTCGACATCTATGTTATTTCGGTCGTTGGAAACAATCTGCAATGTTGACAATTGTTTTAGATTGTATTTTAAAAGTCAGTTAGGTTGTTGGTGTAAAATGCAGGAGAATATAGACAAAACATGATTTTTCCTCACAAAATCCGTGTATATGCGTTATTTACACGGAAATGTACGAACACATTCTAATTGCACGGATATTTATTTTCGGCATTGAATCATTGAATTCCTTTATAAAATACAACAAATATGCTTTTTGAGCGTTTGTTATTTTCTTGCAATGTTTAGCTATTACTTATTTTTTATTATATTCTTAAATGCAACTGTTGACGTGCGTTTAGAAGCCCTTGCTCCATAGAAGGCCAATCTTCTATTTCAAACAATTTAAACAGGTTAATTAAAATAACTTTTCAGAATACAAGCAACAAAATAGTATTGTTTGTAAATAACAAGTATTCAAAAGTAAAAAAACAACATCCTTTAAGAACTATCAAAATGATACCTTTGCAATGATTTATCATTATTGGAAGTATTATGGAAAATGCGCCTTATACAGACCAATCCACTGTAATGACAAAAAGAAAATGATATGTGTACGCCATTTTGTTGTTTTGTAAACATAGATTTTATACAAGTATGTATATGTATATCGACGGTGCTTGAGCCGCTATTGGTCATAGATTAAAACAAGACACTAATAGAGCTTAAGTAAAGTATGACCCACCTAATGCATTACCTCCACTTTGAAGAGTATTCAAATAGGCTAGAACTACTGTCAACTGCAATGAAGCTGAGGGGCGTGGGTTCAAGCCACAGAAGAGGCAATTTTTTTCTGTTCAACATTTTTTTGTGTCTCTTGGATCACTCTTGTATTTTATATTTGACAAGATCAAAAACATTACTTTTAAAAAAAATTAGGCAAACTTTGAAAACAGTCCCTCATTTTGGTAAATTTAAGGGCTATTTTGAATAAGGCCCTCCAAGTAAACAAGAGGGCCATGATGGCCCTAGATCGTTCACCTGACTTATCAAACTCATCCAAACATTAACCTAGACAAGCATTCTGACCATGTCTCATGAGAGGTGAGTAAAAAATGTGACCACTACAGTGTTAACAAGGATTATCCATATTTGAGCAGTGCGACCTAGTTTTTTACCCAGGTGACACTTATTCAAACTTGACTTAGAAATCATCAAAACAAACTTTCAGACCAATTTCCAGGATACTTGGATCAAAACAGTGGCAACTAGAGTTTAAACAAGATTTTTCTATTTTTAGCTCCGGTGACCTAGTTTCACATGCGATTTTTAACTCATCCAAGCAATTACCTAGACAAGCATCCTGACCAAGTATGATGATAATTGAGTCGAAAATGTGACCACTAGAATGTTAACAAGGTTTTTCCATATTTGGGCGGTGTGACCTACTAGTTTTTCATCCAAGATGAACCATGAAATCATCAAAACAAACTTTCAGACCAATTAACAGAATAGTTGGATCACAACAGTAGCAACTAGAGTGTTAACAAGAGTTTTCTATTTTTTAGCTCCTTTGACCTAGTTTTTCATCCGAGATGACCCATGTTCGATTTATTCCCAGCTATCACCTAGACAAACATCCTGACCAAGTTTGATAATGATTGAGACAAATTGTGACCGCTAGAGTGTTAACAATGTTTTCTATTTTTAGCTCCGGTGACCTACTTTTTCATCCGAGATGACCCATGTTCTAAGTCATTCGAGCTATCAACTTGATAAGCATCTTGACCAAGTCTGATGATGATTGATGTAAAAATGTGGCCGCTATAGTGTTAACAAGGTTTTTCTTTTTTTAGCTTTGGTGACTACTTTTTCAACCGAGATGACCCATGTTCGAACTCATCCGAGCAAAAATGCGACCGCTAGAGTGTTAACAACTAAATGTGAACGGACGACGGACGACGGACAATCATCGATCCTAAAAGCTCACCCTGAACATGCTCAGGTGAGCTAAAAAATGTCAATCAAGGGTTTAAAATGGGTGGGGAAGGGTAACATTTGTATACATATTTCAAATATTTTGAGTGGAAACACTAATTCTTCTTGTGTCATTTGTTAGTTGAATGCTATTTGTTTCTTGATACTGATGGAAAAATGGAAAATATTTTTTTCACATTTATTATATGATAGATTATTGAGAGTTTCTCATTTCTGAAAAAGAGCCGTTCTAGTAGACAAGATTTGTTTAAGTAAGAAAAACCACCATACCTCGTAAACCATACGGTAAACTTTCTATACATTTTGCATACAGGTGTCCTTTAAGGTATATAACAGACCTATTTTGTCAATTTAATAGTCCCGTATAGTGCCCATTAAGGGGCTCATACCTTAACATAATGTGACTAAAACGTAAAAACAAAGTTGCAATAATTATTTAATAACTAAGATTGTCTTCCCATATTAAAAGTGACCATGAGCTTTTGACCAAACATAGATTTCAAGAATAAATACGTGTAATCAAATTGCTTACTATCTTTCAATGCTTTAAACGCTTACATTGTTGTTTATACAAATCTAGAATATCATATAATGTACCTCGTATAGAAACCATTTTCCTTCCGTTCTTCCTTTGCGCTCATGTTTGTTTGGTCCATTGATCAATTCTTTAATAAATGTTTTATTCAAAAAATTATCATTATCCGTGATGTTTTGCTCGACGAATTCTTCTTCAAGTTCCTTATTTTCTTGTAGCATGTGCTCTAACATATCGATCGAACCTTTCTCGTGCTTCATGAAAATATATAGCATGAGACACATGATTTAAAATATTCTGAAGATTGACAGAAACGACCGAAGTTTGACGGAAAAGACCGAAGAGTTGTAATAGCAGTTCTAACAATCCAGACCATTTTTCTGTTGTTATTGTTGTTATTATTATCAACTTAATAACCTTGGGCAGTTGGAATCAATTCACTACAGTGTTGAGCAGTACCTGTAGACGCTTGCAGAAATCATGATCACAAAAAATGAAACAAATCGCCTTTTTCTTCCATTTCTACATTTTTTCAATCATTGTCTATTTAAATCGATGTGAATAGACAAAGTGACAATTTACAAGTCAAATGCAATTTGGCGGTTGAAAAAGGCGTCTTGTCCGAGTTAATTTGTAACGTCGCGTAATATTCACTTTCTGTTCCACTCTCGGTTTAATGATAGGTCCTAATTGTTTATATATGCACCATTACAGTTTATTTGTGAGTACATGTTTAATATTTTTTCTAAAGCAATTCATAGAAATTCTGTTTAAAAAACCTCTTTCAAACACATATCGAGAATCTTTATACAAAATTTTGCTATCATTTAAATGATCTATTAATTTCTAAATTTCCTTTGAATTCGACAAACCAGAAAAAAATATATGTTTTAGAGATATGTATCTAAAATAATATCTATATTCCTATCAAGGTTTCATTTTCATGTACTCCATGTGGCTCAGGGGTTACCTTTACAGGTTGGGGCACATAATTGCAGCCACCGTTCAAGCTTGCGTGATCGTAAAAGACAACTAAATGGGTAACTAAAGTCTATGCCTCTCATAGCTCCAGCAGGTTTGACTCCTGTTTAGCAGCATAATTGACATAAACTATGTTGGTGTGCCGTTTTACCATACAAAAACAAAGCATTTTCAAGTAAATTTCATAAATCTAAAATAACATCTATTTTCCTATCTTTTTTTTTTTATTTTCAAGAAATTCTTTTTTCTGTTCATATCTGCCCTTCTTTCATTCAGTGGTGAAAATAGCAGACGACAATCTAACAGAACAGGCTTTTGTGGCGTCACCCTACCAAATGAGTTAACCAGTCCTAGGATTTGTCATGTATGTTTGGTTTCAATATCCTAACACAATTGGTTACTTAATGCTTTGAACGACTGCTAAGAATTTTTTAAAAGCATCCTTATCATAACATTTTATACTTTCCGCACGACAATCAACAGCTGATGCTTAACAAACCTCTTCTTCATAATAGATGCATAGTAATATTATATATTGTGACCAGTCCAGCTGACTGCAAAAAATACTCTTAAATATCATAAGTGAAACATAGAAGTAGTGGAGGACCCCACTCTAGACGAGTTTTTTCCTTCTTTGTCTATATAAAGCAGCCATCTTGGATTTTAATTTTGGGAGCAGTCAATTTTCGAGAGGATATGTTTATCTGGAGAGGTAATTTTTAATAATAAATCATACTTTGCTTAACAATTGCTATACAGGATCAATCCTATAGCCTTTTTAATCTCTTACCACTATAGTATATGATATGCAAAACAATTACATTCTAGAAGTAATAAAAGACAACAAACAATAATACATTATTCATATTTTATTATCATAAAACTGACAATTTGATAATAGTAATGATACAATAACTCTTCAATAGCCATATAGAAAAGACACACAACTATATCTCACTCTCTTCTCAAATACAATCCTATACTGTTTTGTCTGGGTCAGTGTTAAACGTTTAGCTTGATCACGGTCTCTACATATTTTAAGGTAATCTGTTACGGTTACAATTTCATTTGAAGGTCTTCGAACCATATCTTTGATTGTTCCAAAGTTTATTGTATTTTTGTTTTTAAAGTTAAGGGTGATATCCCTCACCTTGCAATGACTTATATTACCAGCTTCATCTGGATCTTTTAATTTGTAGGCCACTTGTCACAAATGTTTCGATTTGATTTCCAGGTATTTCGTCAGTAGGATCGCCCAAACAATCAGCTAGGGAGGGCACCCAGTCTCCAGGTTTTTAGAAAAATACGTCAGAATCAGTACTTGCATACAATGCACGCGTACCTAAATGTTCTAAGTAAGAGTATAATTTGATTCAACATTGTTTTGCCAGAAGGATCTACAAATTCATCCCTGTATTTCCATCGTAATTCTACCATTTCATTAGACACAAAGCTTACTGCTGTTACTTCTTCCCTGTCGCTTGTCGGTTTTTCAAAATAACAGGCAGGATCATCGATAAATTCTACTTGATTTTTGTTAAGTCTTTGACCAAATTTTTCCCAGAACGAAATGAGTATTAATTTAAACAAGGCACGCATTCCCTGATTTTTTCTATGTTATGGCAGTCGAGTTGTATCCCTTCTTTTTCATAATACTGTTGAATGTATATATTCTTTTGTTCTTCAGTGATACACCATTTTGGCCAACCACTTTTTTCTTGTTTGATTTTAAGAAATGTATTTACATATTCGGTGAAGAGACCCCCTTCTTAAGTAATAGGATCATATTGAGAGATGTTTTCGAAATGCCAGACCTCATAGATTGAATCCAATATGTAACCTTTATCAATGGCCTTTTTAACCTTTTCTGTGACCCAGGTACCTATAAAAGCTGTTTCTTCGTCCGTATGCAGACATTTAGTCTGTTTGTGAGTTTCAGCACATGTTTTACACAAAAAAATAGTAATTTCCGTTCATTTTACATGACAGCATATGTATAAATAAGTCTCGTGGAGGAATAACTTTACATTTAATTAACCCCTCGTATTTATCAATTTCGGCAAAATTTTCTGTAATAATTTTAGGGTGACCTAAAGGAATTTTTCCTGTCTTATTGTTAAATGGATAGAGGGATGTAACATCATAATATTGTATATTTTCTCATCAATGGCTTCTTTTTAAAGGGTGAATGCTTCTGTTCGACCCCCGAAAAAAGCCTCTCTATGTTGTAAGGGTGTTGCCATATCCAGCTGTTCTATAAAAGTCCTAATCTCATTATTTCCTTTTATTTCTTTCTCAAACTCAGATTCCCAGATAGATACATACGTATAACCAAGCTCTTCTATATATATCTCTTTTTAGTCAAAGTATTTTGATAAATCTCACCTTTGGTAAGTTTACTGACAGGGTTAATTGTATTACTTGAATATTGGTTAGGATTTTCATGCCAAACATCACCATGGAACTCAAGAGCAACCTTTCATAATAACCATACACCTTGTAAGGACCGATGACTTATTAGTTCTAGAGACAGTTTGACAAGCAGAAGCAATGGTAATGTTCTTTTTAAAAGGATCAACACCGGTAATGTGTAGGAAGTCAGTCCTTAACTTCAGACAACATCGTCTTAGAATATCAACATCAGACCGGCAATATTTTAAAATTTCATTTTGAATATCAAAGGGTGTTGGATTTCAACAAGAAAATGGTTCTTGAATCAGGTTTCATTGCGTCAGGATTGTAGAAGTTAATGTCTGGTAAATGGTCTAAGACAATGGTTTCATTTTCACGTTTGTTGAAAAGATGGGGAAGTAACCCTTACTTAATTCAGAAAATCCAAACATTGCTGGAAGTTTTGAAAGGGCCATTGGCAAGAAATTAATGGAATCAATCATTTTAACTTTGCAACTAGGAACTATGAAGGACATGATCTTGGCACCATTAGGTATCACTGTAGGCACGATAGCATTTCTTTACAAATATTCATAATTGGATAAGAATCGTAAGCTTGAAAGTTGTGACAAATAACGGTTGCGTTGTCATTTTCTTCAGAGAATAGCCACTACAAAATTGATCAATGATATCAAGGCCTGAAAATATAATTTCATTCTTTCCACACATCTCACATTCGCTTTCCCCACTCAACTCTCCACCCATACACAAAGTACATACTTTATGAGCACCACATAGATTTGGTATATGTTCAAAGGCCCCGCATTTTGACTTTTGACAATGTATACATATCCCATTTTAACCTCTTTCATTCCCTCTTCTGCATTGAACAATATGTTGTTGTCTGCATTCTAGATCAAAAAATATATAAGTATCTATATTTTCTTTATCATCATTTTTATGAGATAGTTCATCTTGATTCTCGGGTTTCATATAACAATACTGTCCTTCTTCGAAGAAGTCTTTAAATATTTCATAATATTTTGAACCGCAAACATGAGGTTTTTTACTCATTTGTTTGTTTATTGTTTTTCCACAGTCATCGTATCTATTGTATGTACGACATGTAGAATTACCATTGACTGTAACTTTTTTATGAAGTTCTAAACATAACTCTCCACGGAAAAACCGATTACATATATTACAATGGAACCATTTTTCGTCGCTTAGGGTCGCTTAGGGTATGCACTTTCTTACACGAATTACATACATTATTGCACGAATGCTTTTCCATATGATCGTAACCTTTTTGACACATCGTACAGAAATATTTTTTGCTGAGAAATGCTGGCATACTAGTGATTATGTCATAATGATGGTCATGGTGATATATTTTTTTATCTGCCTCTTGTCCTGCGTATATAATACCGTTGAAATGGTGGGCTGACACTACGTAGATATGGAATCCATTCAGAAACTCTTGAAACATCTTGATTTCTGTAATACCACAAGGTCCAAGTGGTACATCTGCTTGTTTGTGTAACTCCTCGATCATTTCCCTTTGTATGGCACAACCCTGTCTGATGCTGTTCCACTTTTCAGGTTGTCCAAGTTTTGTTTTTGCCGTAACAATAGCTCTTGCACAGCATAAGTTGTCATTCTGAATACGGATAAAGCATTTTTTTCTTTCAATGTCTTCGCTAGGTCCACATAAGGACATCTTTTTCTATGGCATGTTTACGTGAGTCACTTCAAAAATAAGAGATTGATCTATGGTAAAATCTTCATTTGACTGTAGAGCACCTTCTGTTTGTTTGTTTGTTTGTTTGTTTCATTTTACGCCTTTTTCAACAGTATTTCAGTCATATAGGCGAGTAGTTTC